GCCCCGGTAGGCGCGTCGTTAGGGGGGGGGGGGGTGTGAAGGGAACAGGCTGTGCCGGCAAAGCAGAAATCCATGTACGCATCTCTATGTTTTTGTCCTCTCTCTTCGTCATTTAGCTCTCTCTCTCTCTCCCCCGCCATCGTTCTTACTTTTCCATCATTCCTTGATTAAATCTCTGTCCTGGCTATCAGCTCAGCACAGTAATGATGAGGGGTATTTCAGGTGAGAGAGAGGCTGTTCTCTACTCCGTGGGGGGCATGTAATTAGTCTTTCAGTCTAAAGGCGGGCGTGTTAGGGTGGCACAATAGCTGGAAAGGTGTGAAATGGGAAATCTATAATGCTGATGTATCACTCTTAAGATTTGTGTGAGAGTGAGAGAAATAGGGAAGAAATCCAGTTACAGAGAAATAGGGTATGAGAAAAGTAGATGCGTGTCATGGAGAAGTCAGGTGAGTATTCATGGCTACCTGTCTAGTATAAGGTCCTGTGCAAAGATGAGTTTGCCGGGGCAGTGGATGGACCTCCAGATGAGCCCGATCATCAGTACCTCCAACCACGAGCTCTCCAGCAGCTGCACCTGGTCATGGAGGCCCAGCTGCAGGAAACCTAGAAGAACACAAACGTGCATTTGTACAAGTATTCTGGTGAAAGGACCAAGGTGATCCACACGGAAAGTAGATTCACACAGGTTCTTATAGCAGCCGTCCAGAAGCCATATCGGCTCTTTGACTGAACAACACTGGACTCTGGGCTCCATGCCAGGAAGCGATACGAGAACAAATGTCCTCTCATTTCTGTAGGAATTCACAATTCGTGGTTGTTTGGTTTAATAGTGGCTGAGAGTACTCAAGATAAGAAAAAAGACATCTTGTTTTCACAGTCCACAAATTGTTTATACAGCACAAGGAAACATACGTTTTAAAGATGAGGAACATAAATAAATGCCTGAAAATTTGAAAATCTAATTTATATTATTGTCTGTTTTAGAGTAATGCTCCTCAATGCTTTTTGATTTTCCTGTAACGCCAGTACTGTCCACTGGAAAATCACACGTTTACTTTGTTTCAGTTGATTTAACAGTACGTCGATTTCAATACGAGTTAAGCTCGTCTTCTTCTTCTTCCATCCTTTTTGGTGGCATCTCTCCAGTTTTAGGGCATGTGTCAGAGTATTTATACACGGCACAATGCCTGTCCTTATAGAGTGTTTAAGGGGCGTTAACTATGATAATAAACCATCTGCCACACACCTCCAATTTATGATCAAATGGGTTTCCTCATTCAGCACACCTGGGTGGAAGCAGATATGGATGGTCAACAATGTTTGGTGCTTCTGGAGTTTTGTCTTAAACAAAAAATATAAGAGAAATTCAAGAGAATGTTGCTGCATTAGACCCCATATTTGTTTTTTATCCTGATCCACAGATGTTATTTGTAATTGTTATTTGTAATAAAGACCAAATAGTCCAGATAATCCAAACAGACAAAACTCTGGTGTCGATAAGAGTTGTTGCATCAGTGCTGATTAATTGGAGCGGTGGGTGTTAACTGCAGCATGGTGTGGACCTTCATCCCTTTTATAAAAAATAACAAATGCATGCTCTTGTTACCTGGCAGGGAATGGCTACTTAAATTAAATCACCTGCAATCTCTGCACTCTTACGAAGCCTTATCGCCGGCACTCAGCTGTCTCAATTCATATGTAATTACAGCCAATTCACTCCCATTGTCCCCCTCTGTACCCTGTCTGGGACCCCTCGCAATTAAAACTGTGTGCCTTTGGGCTTTTAGTGACACACAAGGCTGTAATACTTATGTGTACATGCTAAAGGGTGATGTGTTCTATCCTGCATTTAGGCTCTGTGGGGTGCTAGGGGATTGGCCAAACAATCCTCTCAAAAGGTGATTGACTGTAATAACCGGCGCTGTAATGGTTCTGCATTTGTGTGTATGTGTGTGTGTGTGTCCATGTGTGCCTCCACTATAAAGGTCTCCCATATCTATCAAAAGCTACAAGAATTAGCAATAATTTTACTTTGTTAAACTGGATGTTCTGGCTCAAACACCTGATGATGTCAATGAACCTTGAGGAAATGAAGTTTGCACTGAGAGGCTTTTATTTCACTTAGAATCCTTCAATCCAACTCTTTTATAATCTTAATGTTCTGCGCTAATGTTTGACATTCATCAGCGTTCTCTATTTTATTATGTTTTCAGTAACTGTATCTCCAATCTTTAAATGGGCTATTTTTTAAAACATTTTTGTACCTTGTCGATAGTAACAGACAGCAGTGTATCTGGAGTGTAGGGGCAAAGTGGGCCAAAAGAGGCCTGTTAAAAGGTATAATATGCAACAATTTACTAAAAAAAGGATAGTTCACATAATCCCTCTCAATCATCACTTATGACCCACCAAAAACACAGCTTCACAACAAGCCTGACATACAGAAGTCAGACTTCAACAAAAACATGTTTAGAGCTTATTATTTAGCTTTATGCTCACACGTCATTATGTTATCCTCTACGTTATGGACCATTCAGTTTTGGGGAAGCTACTGTACATCTTATTCCCTCAACATTTACAGACACAATCTGTTCGACAACAACAAGTTATTTGTTGTATTTAAAACCATGGTGGGAAAAGGACAGTTCCCTACAGACCACATTGCAGACAGGATATGTTTGATGTTAATGGACCATGAATGTAGCCAGACTCCTGGCAAGTCTCAAGAGAGTCTTAACAATTCCACTTATTTTCAGGTTTTTGCTCCAAATGAAAGCTTAATATCAACATCTGGTAAAGTAATTGTCATTAATCTGTCTCTATCAACAGCCTCTAGATACTGTGTTACAGTAACTTTGTACTAGGGCTCGCAGAATCTTAGTTATTGCTCCTTTGAATTGAGATTGTTGTAATCTTTTAATAAAAAATGTATTTGGAAAAATGGGTCTGAAAAACATACACTGCATTATGTACTCAACATAGTACTGAAAACTATTTATGCGTATTAGCTCGTGGTGTGGCTACCTTGCCGGTCTAAGCAGTACCTGGAAGCTTCTTGGCCCAGGCAATCATGTGGACTAGCTCCTTATCGGCCATGCTGGTGAGCAGGGTCATCATGGTGACCTCGGTGTAGGGTCGGCTCAGCTTCTGACGAGAGCACAGTATCGGGGGCTCGGCACACTGGAGCAGGAGGAGCACCTGATGAAGCAGCAGAGAAACCGAAAAACAACGTAACCAGACAAATCAAAGCGTCAAAGAGTTAAAGCGACAACAAACGTATCTCAACGTCCACCAGCCATATGCTATGTAATTATGTGTGAATATATGAATATTCATGGCACCCGACGGACGACTGTTCAGAACAATGTAACGAGTCTCTCCACATGAATCAGCACCTGGTCAGGGGGCATGCTAGTCAGCATTGATTTTCCTCCAACACAAGCGCTGCTGATGCTGCTGCGTTTCCTCCTGTCCTGGGAGGGCACTGTCCTGTGCTCCAGGTCCTTAGAGGCCTTGTCTCTGTCACCGAGGTCAGACCGTCGTTTGTCACGCCGCAAAACACGCCCTCGGTCCTTGCGCACACCTTGAACAGTAGGGTATCATTAATACATAATAATTACACACAGGAACCAAGAAAAAAAGCCACAAACATGCACACGGTGCCAAACAAACTCGTCGGGCTTTTTCCTCAACACACACAACTTTGTATCCTGTTTTTACCACAAAGTCCAGCGGTGAAGATTACATGGATGCCTGTGTGATTCAAGAAGTATGAAAACAAAATGTGGGTGTGTTTTAATCAGCAGTCGTACTCCTTAAGAGGAAATCCCTTCAAGGTCATGTTAAAGTTAGTCTCAAGCTTATCTGCGTCCACCAGGACTCTAATATTTGTGCCAATCCTCTCAGCAGAAGACCGTGGTTGATAGATGGCAATTTTGAAATTTGTTAAAACGACGGCAATCAAATTAGCTTATTTTGATGGAATTAAAACAACATACAGAAAATCTAAGTTCTACAAAAAGAAAACAGAATTGTAGAAGGCTTATCAAACAATTTAACAAAAATGAAACAAGTAAAAACAACAGGACAACCAGTAATAACACAACTAAGTTTAGTAAATGACACCAAATTGGAGAAAAAAAAGCACATCTGCAAAATAAAACAAACTAAACAAAGACTTTGGTCTTGGAAAAGATGGGAAATCTCCTGGTGTGTCGACCCACCTCCCTTCATCATGCCCACTTCGTAACACTTTCTAAGACGGCAAGCCTGGCAGCTCTTCCTCCGATTCCTGTCAATAGTACACTGATTGGTTGCTGGGCACATATAGTCATTGTGACCTGAAATGGAAAAAAATCCATTACTTCAAGACTCCCACTCCAGTGTTCAGTTGAGATTTATGTTATTTAGTAGCCAGGAACACTCTATTCCCAGTTTAAATGGATCCGAGATGGAGAAAATTAAAACTTGTCTCCGTCATTGCCATGGAGACTATTGGTTTCTTTCAGACCGGTCTTCCATAACAAGACTTCTCAATATGCCAGAGCGTCATATCACAAACTGACATGGCTACAAGTGACAACAGATGTTTTTATCTGCACACAGAGGCAGCAGTACACGGAGGTTGTACATCCTGTAGTATGAAAGACATGATATGGATGTTTTTAAGACTCCCAGATGTTCCTGATTAAATCACACTAAATGCTCTTTTGTTGACTGACAGTACAACAGTGTTTTTCTCCATTTACAAAGTCGGCTATTGAACTGGTAATTGTGTTCTTATAATGATAATTCTCCATGACAGACACAGTACTTAAGTCTAAGCATTTCTCAGTCCCGATCTCTCACAAACAGGTGACGTTTGGGAGTAAAATCCAGTGGTCACAACTGGGTGAAGGCGACAGAGTACCTACCCTGGATGCTCCTCTTAAAGAAGGCCTTGCAGCCCTCACAGGACCACACCCCGTAGTGGTACCCAGAGGCATAGTCACTGCACACGGCACAGAAACGCGTCTCTTTGGCCATCTCAAAGCCCCCGGCCCCCGCTCCGGCCCCCGCTCCGGCCCCCGACTCCACCAGACTGTACGACTCGTCGCTGGTGCCGCACTGGTCCTCTCTGGAAACCGACTGCTGACTGGATGGTACACTGGACATGTCACAGGACGAGGATTTCAGATCAGTTGAATTATCTCATAAATCTTCATAGACAATGACAATAAATTGAGACGCAGATGAAATAATCTATACATAAATAAAAGGACATTTTTGTCAAAAATTGCTCCCATAAATGTTTTATCCCAGCAAATACTTATTTATCATTCTAACCTTTACCGTACAAACTTTAACTTGACAGTGGCAGAGAGAAAAGCAGAGTACTGTTTTCCACCTGAGCCAGGAAGCAATCTGTACGTGTACTGCGGTTGTTCTTACGTATTGTTCCTTTCTCAAGGTCTTTGACAAAGTCCTTAATCTCTGGAATTAGAAACCAGGACAAAGCTTGATCCCTTCTCGTGAGATAGTGGCAATGTTTTGTTCGAAGCAAAAGACACAAAAAAAAACCCACAATGCAGTTATATAATTGTTTTGTTTATAACTGCATTGTGAGGACTGAATATAATGCCAATGACATTATTTGTGAGCGAAAGATATTAAATACAGTTATGTGGCAAAATGCCCTAAAACCACTCATTAGTCTGTGGAGACAATACAGTAAAATGAAGGGGATACTTTTTTTCCTTCATGGATATTATTCTTTAACTTTGTGCTGGAATCACGACAGATTGGTCAAAAACAAAACTGGAGAAACAAATCTGACTTTGATTTGTTTTTATTGCAATTCTTTTTTCAGTTAAATAATCAATAAAGCACAAACTGACCAAACAATCAGACTCAAGCAGAGGTAATCACCAACTTACCTTAATTATTCTAAAAAAAAAAATGAAAGCAGTGATTCATACTTGACGCAGAGCCTATAAAAATAACTTCTTCCCAACCACACAACAAACACTTTTGACGACTGTAGCGATAAGGACGAATGTTATTCCCTCACCTGTAGACGTGTGTTGAGGTGGTTTCCAAATAGTGGTGGCTGGGTGGGTGCAAAAAGGGGCTGAGTCGGGGGCTTGAGGGTACAAACACTATAGGACTGGTAGGCCCACTACCCAGGGACTGAAGGCTGCCATCTGAGGGTGGTCTGTGGGAGTCTAGCGGAGCAGAGTAGAAGCCAGGGGTGGAGTGGCTGTAAAGAGGTGTCGGGGCAGGGGTGGGGGCGGCATAGTCGTAAGTTCCTTCCAGGAAGTCCACAGTGGCTACCCCTCCAGACCCCCGGCTCTCTTCAGGGTACATGTCACTGAAGTGGGCACGTGGTGCAGGCGAGGGATGTTGCGGGGAGAGGGTCTCCAGTTCTGAAAGGGCTGGGCTGATCCTGGGTCTGAGTAATGGTCCACAAGGCTGTCTGCTCTGCGTCGGGCTCTGCCTGAGCAACATCACAGCACAACAGCACTGATATGCAACATGATTTAGACTTGCTCTCCCAATTGCTGGGAGGGGAGACGAGTGCTGCACGCTCTCTCTCTCTCTCTCTCTCTCTCTCTCTCCTGCCTTTAGTCCAACAAAGCCCGTCAGGGAACTTGAAGGGTCCACTATTCTTCCAGTCCCTTTTCCCTATCTGCCTTGCGCTTCCGCCCACCGCAAAAAAAACAAAAAGACATCCAAAAAGACTCCTCCCATACTAGTGGGATAAAGAAAGAGGAAGATAGACAGAGAACTAGTGACTCCAAAATAACTCCCCTGTCCTCTCTCTCTCTCTCTCACACAACCCCACAATAACAAGGTTCTCTTCCAACTTCACCTTTCTCTTACATCGAAAAGCTTTTGCTTTTGTTGTAGCTGGCACCCAGAGGAAAAAACATCTGTAAAGTAGCAGGGAGATGTTTACCAGATACCCAGCAAGCTTCCAGCATGACGTATGAGTGGCCTATTTCTGTAGCCATGTTATTGAATACACCTGAGACTGCAGCAAATCAAATCAGTGTGCAAATGAGACATTCGGACAATAGTTCTAAACAGTGGTGGCTAAAAGAAAGCCCAAATCCATCACGATACACTACTCACCTCTCACACATGAATCATTCTCATAGCCTCTTCTGTGAGTCGTCTCGCTCCCTCTTTGCTCTCCTCTCTCTGATATCGCTGACTCTCAGGAACCTAGCTGGGCTCATTGAACACAATGGGAAAGGTTAAAAAGAGGATAAACAAATTAAAGATGTGGCCAAATCGATAACCAAACCAGTGTGTTTTAGTGCCAGGTCACCATAACACAGCAAACAGAGCAGGAGGTCAAATCTCATTCCTCCAGCCAACAATTGCATAATCAATCCCAAATGAGGGAACTAAACTAATATTAAACAGATGGTGCATGACATAAATTAAATATTTTAACAAACATTACAGAAAAAAATGACAAATATTTAAAAGAAGTCCTATTGTCCTAGTGATATTTCATTGAGAGGATATTATAAGACCACCACACGGAGCAGTTAATCATTACTTCATCAGGTCAAGTCAAAGATAAAACAGAACATAAACAAATAAAGGATTTAAGAAATCAATGTTCATGTTTACTGCATAGAAGACCCAGCTTTGTGATATTCTGGGATCCTATTCGTCCTTGCATGTTTTGGGACCAGGCATCAAGAAAACCTTGTGAGCTTAAATACTGAGAAAACTAATAAACTCATTTCCAACATTCATGAAAAGTGTGAAATAAAACCACAAACAATTCAGCTCAATGTCAAAAAAATGATTTTCAAATGATCATTTGAAAATCAATGAACATCTTGAATAGACTTATTTCTGTGTGAAACAGCTGACAGACAGTCAATAATACCAGAAATTCATAAAGATGATCAGAAGCATCAACCCCCCACCGAGGACAAGCTGAACATTTGTCACAGGGACTTAATTCTCTCTTCTCTGTGCAACATCTTTCTTGAGTAAACAGCCCAATTTTCAGGACATGTCAGGTCAAGTGGAAAACAAGTAGCTCTGATGATAGATTTTCCATTTTTTGCATTTCCCCAGGTATAAAACGAAAACTCTGTTGAATGAGAAGATGAAGGGTTAGAAATGAAATGGCTAAAAATCACCTAAATGGCTGAAGATGGGCTGCTTCTCGTCGTGATTCATCTAATCCTCGTGACAGAGCACATTAACAAAGCGCGTCAGCAGCCTTAATGATGCCATTCAGCTTTCCCAGCTCATTCTGGGATTGTAATGCACATGTTGCAGCATTTCCAGCTGTTTTTTCTGGGTCCACACTGACCCGGAGTACATAAATGTCAACAACTGTTATAAAATATCAATCAACAATGTCACACAACTGGTGAACATTTAAACCATCTACTGGGGAGTATTATCTGTGTACAGATGCATTTTCTGGCAAAAAATACTGTCGCTGCACTTAGTAGTAATAAACCATGCGGGTTCATGTACTAGATCAAAATGCCAGCTGCTCACATGTTGTATCTATAATGTTTGTAAAGTACGACAGTGGGGGAAGAAGAGACCAGTTCTGCAGTTCTTTATTAAATCAAACCCTTTAATGAAAAATGATATCACCCCACCCAGCAGAAGAATCCAGTTAACATCACCTCCGAGGTACCGATGCTGAAAATGTACATGACGTAACACTTTCATCTATGAAGGTCTGGGTTGCCATTTTAAACAAAACAAGCACACACTGTCACTGTTACATGGCCCCAATAACAGTCTAGCTTTCACACTTAACAATGTTATGATCCGCTGAAGCTGAATTCAAATGGCCGTCTGCATGTTTTGATACGTGCATATCAATGACACCAAACACAACCTGAGCAGAGTTAGAACAAAGAAAAGCTATATATCGAGTTAATCAACTGCATGCAAAAGGAAAGGTATTGCTGCTCTAGGACAGATTTATAAAGCCCAATTCTTACTCAAAAATAGTTAACAGCATCTAATAACCTGTAAACATATTCCCGTAATACATTGTGCACAACACATAAGCTATTTGCCATAAAAAACGAATTTGATTTGTTACCTCGGAGGATTAATTTGTCACCGTAAACAATTGTGTTCAAATCATGAGGACACATTAAGATCTAAAGTGCTAACATTTTAAGCATGACATGGTACAAATATATTGTGACAATAACTCAATATTTCTGTATCAACCATGACAAGGAGGAACAAAGACTTGGTGTTGTGCCTTAAAGGGAACTCCTTTATGGTACTTCTTACTGTAATGTTCTTATGAACCCACGTCTTCCCAGTGAGGTCCTGAGGTCAGTCTTTCTGTTCACACTTTGAGCTGGAGAACTGAATGACAGCGTATTTGCTGCTGGTCATCCAATCAGGATCTTGGGAGCCGAGCTTCTCCCCTTGGCCCGGCTGCAGACCGACCTGAACGTTGGCCTTGAGAGTCCTCAGGCTACACAGCGGTGCAGGCCCAAAACCCCGTAGCGCAGTATCGAAGCCCACCGCGTGATCCCACTCCCTGTCCCCCGTCAGCTTCCTGTAGTTGAGATCACCCTTAAACAGCACCAGGTCGGCCCCCTGCAGGGTCGCGTACAGGTCCGGAGCATCAGCTTCCATGTCACAAAACTCATGGGGCGTGGTCCAGAAGGGATGATCGTGATAGGACCATGCACCCTCCTTCAGGTGGCTCTTCCACTGGACACCAGTCTTTGACATCCACTTGTGATTGGCCGCCGTGGTCTGCCGGATGGTCCACTGAAAATCGTTGGCTGTGACATCAGAGACAAACCATGGGATGGATTTGCCATGAAAATGGACCTCATTGGCAAGGTGGGAGGAAACCAGGAAATCTGCTAAGACCAAGTCAGTGAATAACTCAAAGCCAGAATTGTCTAGAACAATGTCCACTCTGACTGCAGCGGTTTTCTCAGATTGTCCGGGCCTCTGAGCGGAAAGAAGAGTAGACCACACCATGTTGGAGTCATTCACCAAGATGAAGGGTTGCAGGCTGTTCAGGGAGTCTATTGGACTGGTCTTCTGGGAGTTGTCTTGGCCAGCAGAGATGGACAGATCACACTTGTTCCCCCATAGAGAAACCTAGGAAAAGTCAAATAAAGAAGTTAAACACAAACCAATTGTAATGTGTCCACTTGTGACCCTGAATAGGATAGATGAGAGAATGGATGAATAGACAGAGTATTTTGTATTATTTGTCAGTCTTTTCATTGAAAATGGCAAACGGAAAGGAGGTTAAAACACAAAACGACCCTAAAAGACGCTAAAATCTTCCATAAAAAGGAACTGCAGAGTAGGGTAGTAAGAATCGATGGGTTCATCGATAATACTGATGAATACTGCGGCTTTTACCTTTACTCACTTGATTGTTACGCATTAGTCTGGTATAAAAGACACTTACCTGCAGCAGTTTGTTGAAATGCTCATGCAGCTGATTCTTGGAGAGTTCCTCCATATTCTTGTTGACGCCCTCCAAGTATGTACATAAGGCGATCATAGCCTGCTGAGACTCAAAAAAGCTCTGAGTCTTTCCCTCGTTAAAGACGTCGTAGTCACTGATGGGAGGACTGAAAGAAAACAAATCAAATATAATCATGACTAGAGGACAAGAACAGATTGTAAAGGAACAGAAAAAATGAAGATCGGCGGTTCGATCAAAGTCAAAACGAATATAATGAAATAATGCACAGCTGCAGAGAAATATACACAAAAGCAGTAAATAGGGCAGCAACAGATACCATTGTAAAATGCATATATTCTCACTTGAGCCAGAGGGCCTCATGTACTCTGCGGTACATGTAGCACTCCACATAGAGCCACGGAGACTTGAACCAGCTGACAGAATCCTCGTCTCCGTGCATCTTCTGTTGTCTCTGCAGGTACTGATTCCAGCACTCCGTGTCTTGCAGGCCGTCTGTCAGCTCTAGAACTGGCTTATCTGTCTGCAGCTCATTCCTCATCTTAGACAGCAGACCTATTGTCTGCTTCTCTGCCTGGATACCTTCCTGTGTGAAAATAAAGAGGGAAGAGGAAACACACAGCTGAAGAAAACAAGTAGTTGATCAAAAACAACTCGAACTCAATTCATCAATAACAATGCTTACCTCTCCATATTCTTCAAAGAACTTGTTTTTGTTGCGATGTATTGTATCGATAACTTTAGTCAGGATGGTGGGCAATCTGTCTCTCACAGTCAAATAGGCAAATGACCTGCAGAGAAACGACATGAGTTAGCCACTGACACTTCCTGATATTATCATTCCAACATTAGCAGGTGTATGCACTAGTGAGCTAGCATGCTAATTAACCTAGCAAGACGTAAAGTTAACGTGAGCCCTTACTTTGTAGACTTTTCTACTGCAAAACCATACTTGCTTATACAACGAAACCGTCAAAAAACACATTCAAGTTCACTGAGTCAACAGTATATGCTTGCATGTGTACACTCAGTAAAGTTATAGCGTTAAATACCAACTTCGTGCATGTCTGTTAGCAATAAGCTAATGCTGCTGCTGGTTTCAACAGGACAGTCGTAGCCGCTGTGACGCAGCAGTGTAGCGTTAGTTAGCCACATTATTTAACATGGTGAACAAGTTGTTAGAGCAACCATTGACATACCCGACCACTTTAGCAGACAGTGAAGGCGGAACTCCGTGCACCGTTCGATCAGCCGCCATCATTGTAGCAGTGGGAGTCGGTTCAAATTCAAACTTTATCGATATAATTTCCAGGACAGGTACAACGTTTAGGGGTCTGCTTGAGGCTCGAACCGCGAAGTGTGACTATGGACGTTACGTGGCCAAGCAGATCGTATCAAGCTTGAAGTCTGTTTCTGTAAACAAGTGTATTACATTTTAATATGTATTTCCTGGTTCCTTGTAGACCTGTTTTATTTAGGAGGCGATGCTGCCATCTAGCGGTTAATGTGTGAACTGCAAAGTTGGCAAGTTGTGTGTCCCCCGTGCACGTTGAGGCTGACATTAAACCTTAAAGATGATACCTCGCGCCTTGTTTAATTGAGGGTAACTCACGTAATTTAGCCCACGTGAGCCTTCAGCGTTGAAAGACTTCAACATTAATATTTCTGGGGTGGATGGGGGATCACAGACGGGTACGCGCCCTGCCGCATTGCGCATGACCCCCTGTTGTTGCGGCAGCAGCACCCCGAGCATCCCTAGTCGTCCAGAGCAACGGTTGTCATGGAGACATTGATTCGCTCTATCAGGAGAATTCGACCCCCCCCCCCGCCCCTGAGGCTTTTGGCGGGAAAAGAAGGAGGGGGGCAGACCGATTCCTAGCGAGTCATTGCTGGAGACCCTGATTAAATACTACGCTACTATTCGTGGATATATGAACTTATATGAATATAGTCGCTTTTAGAGACGGTCTCCCCACTCTGAGTGTTCTTTCTACAGAACATGACCAATTGATTCGCTGCACCCACGATTACTAGGCCGGTAAAAACACGCACATCAATTCATTCTGGCGGTGTTTCCACTTTCAGATCAGCCCCGGTCACTATGGGGACACGGCGGGCCGTTGTCAGGATGTTGGGTCCTTGGGAGTGGGAGTCCAGCTGCGTCCACCTCCGGTGTTCATCCACCGCCGGCCTCCCATCCCCCCACCGGGGCCCCAGCCTGGCCGGATCTGTTTTTCTAAACCGCGAAAGGAGTGACTCACCACTCCGGTTTCAAAACAGGCCATGAAGGGGGGTGGTGGCGGTGGTGGCTAACGTTAAAGGCGCTGTTTAAACAGGTGTTTCAGCTCACCACAGTCCTCTAACGCAACAGGGGGATTGAGCAACTACGTCTCGTGTGTATTGTTCCCTGACGTCAGGAAACGGCCAAATCGGAGTAAATCTCGCCATACTTTTACGTTTTAAAGCAATGCAGTCTTTGCTGTACTTGTGTACTTACTGTAAAATGCATTATGCAGGAAAAATCAATTTAGTTTAAATCAGTGGCAGTCATGTGAAAGTCCAGTCTGCGTCTCTTTTGAAGGAGCTCCTCTGAGAAAAAGAAGCAGGAAATTGATTAATAGGGCATAAGGAAGCCATATGTACAGAAGCAGACAGGACAGACTTTCTCTAATGGTGGAGCATTACAAAAAATAAAAAAACTTGATAATAATATATATATTTTAATGATTAAGAAAAACAATGAGCCATGTGATAACAGTGTATCTGCTTCTTTCAATAAACCCCTGCTGTGGGCCTTTCAGTAAAGTAAACATGCTTGTGTTCTGTAGTCATTACCATCTACTATTACTCTACCAGTGGCATCAATCAATCTTGTGCTTGTGATTCTTGTGAGACATTTTGTACCCCCACAGGCCTACATTTTTTATAAGCTAATTAGGATCAGATCTAGGTCTATTGTTTGTTGACAGGGCGGAGACTTTAAGCTCCTCAGGGCCTGCTTAAGAGACATTTCTGCCCCCTTCCGAAGTATCCTGTCTCCTGTAACCTTAACAAATTAATTCTCTACCTATTCTCTGACTGCCGAGTAAGCGTTTACAGAGCTACAACTTGCTTAATCTGGTCCTCCTGTGGACTCCCTGTCCTAAGGCTTTAAAAAAAGCAACTCTGTAATGACAGGTCTGGTAAAACAAATTGGTCTTTACACTATGGGGCAACATCTGATGACAAAATATTGATCCAAAGTGCGTTTGTGCGAGAAGGTCTTCCTACTCTTACTGTGCAGGCCATGTGTGGTGTGGTTGAAATCTGTTTCCAAGACCTCCACTACTTCCCTCTTCTGGTACTTCCTTCTATTTAAACAAAAAAAAAGAGGTTTTCCATTGACATTTGAGTTGACCAATTCACAGGCAGGCAACCCTATGTTGGGATTACAAAAAAAAAAAAAAAGCTGTAATTTAAGACCCCATTCGGAGTGTAGGCTACAGGAAGCGACTATAATTACTATTTTCACACAAAAGAAACAACTCACAAAAATTCTGTTTGCTGTGATTTTAAGGTTATTCAACTTAATGACACTGTTTAAAACGTACAAAGTTGTGACACTGTTTGTTTACGGTATATAAGGGGGAACCCAGGTTAATATGCGCAGGTTTGTTAAATGATGTTGAATAAAGGTATTTTTTGTAGATATTGGCATCAGTTTATAGATTTATTTTACACATGGGGTGCTTGGAAATGACTGCAACATACCAATATAAAAGAAAGGAGAAAGGGGATGGCCAAACTGATCTGACATCAAAACATAATAATCTAATAGTGACACATACAAACTACAAACCAGTGTTTAACAGTGACCAATAATGTATGAACATTTGTTGAACCTGTATTCAATATCTTCTGTCATACAGTTAATACGTTTTGTGGGAATCACATCCTGTTTCCATAAATAGACCTATAATAGCCATGTCACGGGGGAATTCAGTCCCCTAAAAACTAAAAAACTAATTGGGCTTGATCAGTTATCCTTATAAATCTTAAGTTTATATAAAACACTTTGCAACTGCCTCAGAGGAAAATTACAATTCAAGGTTTTCAACTCAGCAAATAAAAAACAAGGCTTTAACAATTATATTCTGTGTCAGAGGTAAATTACTGTACTCTATTACACTCTACACTCAAAACTGACTATCTATTTAAAATCTATTTGTATTGTCTGTTTTCGTCAGTCTCGACTAATACTAGTCTTTGAGATCAAAACCTCAGAGAATAAAATAATTAAACATACTTATCAGAATAAAATAAATGAATTCTCAGCCAAATGTACTTTAATACCAAAGTTTGTTTCATATACTTTTTACATTGTTATTATTTTGTGAGACCTATTACTTTGTAGCATTTTGTTTTATCTCCCAATGTCATTCAGAATCATAATTGTTTATTACTCAGTCATTAAAAGGGGAAACGTGCTAATGGCCATATATAGATTTTGATATAGTCTATGAGGATATCTTAATATTCGTGTTATTAAGGCTACAGCCTTGCTTTGATATTGCCATAATATCCACTGAATATGTATAAAATGTAGACGCTCACATTACTTGTTTTCATACCTGTAACTTGTTAAAAATCTGGTGTTGGCTTAGCTTCAACCGAAAATGATAAATATGATACGACTGTGTGCAAAAACTGTAATTATTTCGTTATTTCGGTGAGAGTCAACAACACACGTATGTATGCCACACTTCGGTGATGTGTTTAACGTGTCGTTAACGGCAGAGACGGGCCGATTAACAACGGTGAGTCAGCGTAGCTGTGAGCTGTTAATGTTCAAACTTACCGGCTGTCAAAAAAACAACAACTGTCTAGCGGTGGTTGATCTCACGGTGGTTACACAGTGCGGAAAATTAACGTTAACTCAACCGCCCCCTTGCTCAACGGGTTTTTTGCAACGGCTGTTTTTTTACCCACAGTCATGTGATTGTAACGTAAAACCCCTAACCGGAAAACAACGACGGACGACCCTCTCCGCCGCCAACGAATGCTGCGTCTGCTAGCAACAGTACACGCCGCTGCGAGCCCAGAAGAGGACGGACGAGTCCCCGGTAACAAACAAACAACGGCGACACGGCAAACTCCACGGATTTACACCGGAGTCGCAGGTACGGCTGTTCGTACCTACACACTCTCTCATTCGTGTGCTGGTAGTGGTACGTTATTTGGTTACTTGTGTGCGCTTCGACTAACTGTAATTGTCACGGGGAAGTTAAAAGAAACGCGTTCGTGACCAACCCCATCCCCCTTGCTCTCTTTCCCCGCGCGTGTGTGTGTTGTGTGCGCGCGCTCGCGTGCGTGAATGTCCGTTTTCTCTCGCTAGCAATAGCAGCCGCGAGAGACCCAAGGCAGGAACTGTCTCGGCGCGCTCGCTTTAGAGGCTATTCCCCCTGTTACAGCGCTTCGTGTACTTTAAATGTTATTATTTTATTCGCATAATTCTTCTGTTTTATTCCCGTACTGTGTTTACCTTCCTTGCGGGCCGTTTAAACGGTGTATATCCAGAGTAACAGTAAATCTCTCTACGGAAGTAACTATTCCACGTGTCTACATCACATCAGGGGCGGTGCTTTATTGTTGCAAACAAGTCGGTGTTGATTAACACATGGTAGGCTACTGTGGCTAACTGACCGGATCATGTGAATACAAGTTGAATTCACAGGATCAATAGGGGTATTGGCAATCAGTCACATATTCATAATACTACTTTAAGACATCTTAAAAGATCTGTGGAGCCACCAACCAACCAAAATGTTGGAGGCTCAGCTGGAGGCAAACCATACTAGAGGTTACAAACTAAAGCCTTTCTGGGTCCATGTAAATCTATTCAAACAGCTGGGGACAATCCAAACGACACCAGGAAGAGATACAGACTGGTAAAAAGCTTCAACAAGAAATCAGTGTGAATCTGATATTGTTGAAAATGTATTCAATGGTATAAATGATGTTATATTTGTAAATTAAAGGAAATATTGCTGTTTAGATGTGGATTAACTGGCAGTGACAATGTGTATATTTCTTGTACTACTGTCACATGTTGTTGAATTCAGATCTGTGTAGCTCACTATAATTTTAACAGAATTAGTTAAGTATTGGGACTGGAACTGCTAACGAGTTGTGATGAAGAAGTAAAAGCAGGGCAAAAGGGTCAGTGCGCCCATTAATAAAAATATGTCTTGTTTATTAGATGTATTGGGAATGCTGCAGGTTCAGTCTACTGTACTGACGAGATGAGTAAACTCAATTTAAAGTATTTTATGAAGGTTATAATCTTACATTTTTAAACTGTTTTCGAGGGGTGTTGGTTCAACTTTATGCTAATTTTAGAGGCCGTGGTGCGTCTGAATTATATTGAGCGGTATTTCTAATATCTAGTCTATTCTCAATGACATAAATAGCATTATAATGAGAGATGTTTAGTCTGTGGCAATTATGTCTCTGGATTATTATCTATAAAATGTCCAAAAAATGGTGAAAAATTCCTACTATAATTTCTAAGGAATGAAGGTGACATATTCATGATATATTTAATAGTTTTCTCCGACCAACAGTCCAAAACCGAAAGATTATCACGTTACTGTCATGTATCCGAAAAGCAGCACATTTCACATTTAAGAAGCTGGAAGCAGGGAGTGTTCGGCTCAGTATATATAATATACTGTTGTAATAGACTGTATTATTTGCCAGCTGTACCTAATAACCTGGCGACTGCAGGTATATTGAAGTTAAGTGTGACAAGAGCCGCGTACTTTGCATCTTGAGTGACTGCTGTTGCTGTATCCCCCTCGCACAAGATCCGGAAACCTCGCCTTTTCCTGAAGCGCTGCAGTGCCAATGTCTTTGCACTCTGACCCCTCTGATGAAATACACATGTGCAAGGGGCTTTATCGGTGCTTTAGTCAACAGCAGCGAATATGCAGAGGTATTAATTCTGATTATTGGAGGTGAATTGGCTGGTGAGGTATCCATCATCTTCTATCTTGGTAGCTTCATGCCTTAGGCTGTGTGGTGTGGAGAAAGGTCTGGAGAAAGGAGAGTCACCCTGCCCACAGGCTGTTTTCATTCTCCACTGGAAGGGGGGTAGAACCAATTCTGCTTTTAGGAATGTGTGTCAACACCCAAAACTCTGATCATGTGATGGCCTGGAGCCCTTGTAGTCTTCCAGTGACCTTTTAAGGTCAACGACACCCATCTTATTGGTCAGCAGAACGCACAGAGCTCTGAAATGTCCCTTGAGATTGAGTTTGGACGGATTGGGCTCCATCTGGACCATGTCCTGCAAAAGGATGTTTCCTCAAAGTCTTCAAAGAGACAAGAGCTGTAGTGATAACAAACTCTATTTCGTCTGCTGGTTTTCAGTGTCTCTCACTGATGTTTCGGGGGCAGAAACCTCTGCAGCTCAATTCCCGTGAAGCCAGGTTGAACATTAGACAGTTATATAGAATAGATTAACCCTTTGCACAGTAATTAGCGTGCCTGTTTAGTGCTAACCATACCACCATCAAAGGGTTTCTATGAGAAGGGTATTCTCATAATAAGAGATCAACAGAGAACCCTCTCTCTGACCGCTCTGGTTGTCATTGATTTTTTACTCATGTCCAAAATTCCCACTTGTACAATACAGGGAAACAAATTAGACTGGGGTGTTTTTTGTTTTGCTGAGTCGCACCATTAATTGGCATAATGTTCTGTGACATTAGTGTTGGATGAATCGTCTCCAATGTCACAAAATGACTCTTTACCGTTGTGTTAAGCTCGCATTTACAAGGTCGTTAGATCACCCCCGTTAGCCTGACACTTTGTGGTCACAATAAACTCTGGTCTCCTTCCAGACAGGAAACTCATTGCTGCTTGTGTGTGTCTGTGTGTCTTTTGTGCAGGTTGAAGAATGGAGTTGGCCAACCATGGTCTTATCCTGCTGCAGCAGCTTAACGCTCAGAGGGAGTTTGGCTTCCTGTGCGACTGCACTGTGGCTATAGGAGATGTCTTCTTCAAAGCCCACAAAGCTGTCCTTGCTGCCTTCTCCAACTATTTCAGAATGCTCTTCATTCATCAGGACAGGTAGAGGAAGAATGTATGAATAGGTGTATCGGACACAAGCTCAATACCAAGCTCGGATACCTTTTTGTTGTCCCATCAGAGAAGCAAATTGTGCTGTCAAAGCTTACAGATGCCATGTCAAAATAACACTCACTTCTCATGTTGTCAAACACTGTAGAGTTTTGTTTCTCTGTAGTTGAGCACTGGACTGTATCTAAATCTTTTTAGTATGATGACCCACAACTAATGCCATTGTTTGATCAATGGAACGAATTGAGGTGACAAATTGGAGTGTGTGTAAGGGCATTAAGATCTAAACAAGGTATCTCTGCTGCCCTGATAATGTGTTATGGCGTCATTCCCTCACTGAAGGACATGCAGACCCAAAGTTTATTCACCTAATGCAAGGATTGGTAATCTTAAGAAACTATCAAGAGTACGCTACATTTTCAAAATGATCCAACCGAAAAAGGCCGTAGGCCTAAATTGATTGGACAGGCTTATTACAGTCCTTTTTGTCAGAGCATTTGATTTATTTTTTTAAAATATTTTGAAGAAGACAAATAATAGCGTTGCGCAGATTTTTCCTCATATAGTAGAGAAATGAGGAGCAGTCACTGCTGTTTATAATGGACAACATTATCTAATATTATCAAGACCTCAGACATCATTAGTCACTACTTAACTGTACTGTCGTTGCGTTTCAGTGATTGTGTGCGCCTGAAGGCCGCCGACATACAGCCGGATATCTTCAGCTACCTCCTCAACCTGATGTACACAGGCAAGCTCGCACCCCAGTTGATAGACCCTGCACGGCTGGAGCAGGGGGTCAGATTCCTGCACGCCTATCCGCTCTTGCAGGAGGCCAGCCAGTCTGTGTATTCCCACGCTGAGCAGCACAGCATCAACCTTTCCACCTCCCTCTACGGCATCCAGATCTCTGACCAACAGGCAGGGCTGTCTGCTAGATTGCCCTCTCGACGGCAGCTCACTTCTCCCTTCGACATGGAGCAGCTGAGCTCAGAGGGCAAGTATCTGTCCACACCGGCTGCCACAGCTTCATACGCCAATTCCTTACTGTCCAAGCTAGCTTCCTCGCCCCCAGACGCGGAGGCCTCGACCAGCGGCGCCAAGCCTACAGTTGAGGAGGGGGTGATGGACTTGCTAAGTGCGGATGGTTCCTCAGCCAGTGCCATCCTCCATGTAAAGCCCAGCATCATGAAGAGGAACTCCTCCTTTAGGAAGCATTACTCCTGTCATCTGTGCCGGAGTCGATTCACCCAGAGAAGCCTGCTGAGGGAGCATCTCCTCCAACATACCCATGCTCTACAGCAGGCGCCAGCTGAGCCCAGCAATGCACTCTCACCTGTCATGACTGGAGAACATAGTATGCTAGATTTAGAGAGGGTCCTAAAGGGAATTAAGGCCGGGTCAGTTGCCTTGGCTGCCACCACAGGAGTAGAGATAATCAGTGACAGCGAGCAAACGCCCGTTTCAGGAACCAACTCGGACTCTCCGCGAGCGGAGGTGTCCACTTCCAGCTGGGGGGTGGGAGGGTTGAATTCTCAGGCAGACACGCCACCTCCGTCAGACATTGCGGACATCGACAACCTAGAGAGCGCCGACTTGGACAGGGAAGAGAAGCGCAGGAAGTACGAGTGCTCCACCTGTGGGCGCAAGTTTATTCAGAAGAGCCACTGGCGTGAACACATGTACATCCACACGGGCAAGCCCTTCAAATGCAGCGCGTGTGGCAAGAGCTTCTGCCGGGCCAACCAGGCAGCACGCCACGTGTGCCTGAACCAGGGGGCCGACACCTACACCATGGTGGACCGGCAGAGCATGGAGCTGTGCGCCGCAGGCGACGACAGCAGCCAGATGGAGGCGATGTTCTTGGGCTCGTCGAAGCCTTACAAGTGCAACATTTGTGCGACCACCTTCTCCAGTCCCAACGAGGTGATCAAACACCTGTGCTTTACTCAAGGGGGGTTAGCGGGGCTGCAGGGAAACACTGGCGCGGGGATGCTGCTCCAGCGTGAAGAGTTCTCCAAAGATGACGGCTCCGACTTGTCCAACTCTGGCACCGCACTGGAACCAATAAAGACTGAGGATATCCTCGTATAGTAGTGCCAAAACTGTCTATTTGTCCTCTTTAACATGTATGTTTACTTTCTGAATCGTGGTTAATAGGTAAGCTAAAGGTAAAGTTAGTCAGGGTATGTATGTTTGAGCTCCTAGGTCTACTAAAACAGTTGTGTGTTTTTTTTGTTTAATTGGGGGGGGGGGGGGGGTACAGTATTTTGGACTTTCCAAAAGTGAATTAAATAGTGAAGTAAATGCCCTACAGCTCTCTGGAGTTCAGTCCAACATCACTAGAAAAGCAAATAACTTTAACATTTGACTGAAAGCTGCGTTACCAATAAGGGAGGTGAAGTTACTATGACTTTGTTTCATTGAATCATTTCATGGCTTGGTGTTAGACTCTCACATGTCAGGCTGTACCACATTCTTTTTTCTTTTACTTAACAGCTAAAGTGGTGGTAAGGCTGCACAGGCAGACTTTGAGTATCAGAGGAAGGGGAAGCGGAGACAGTTCCGGAGGCCACGGCGTGTTGTGCGATGAGTTTGCTGTGCTAGATTAGAGGGGGAGAAAGAGCTGCACGGAAGGGTTGTTTCTTCATGGTCACAAATGAGAGGCTTGTTCTGCAGATCAGGTATAGATTATGATTCCAGCTAAAAGCGCACAACATATTCAGACCTGAGACAATCCGTGCCCTTTTTTTTTTTTTGAGTAGATGCTTGATATGCAGGAAAGTACATACGTCTTCCATTCATGTTTTGGTTGTTGTTTATGCTCAGCAGAATGAATAACTTGCATCCTTCTCAGCAACCGTTTAGTTGTTTAGTTGTTACTCTGTTTTCTTGTCTGTGTGATTTTGGTTCCTGTGTCCTTACATCTAATTAAAGCACAATTTGCTCTTCGTAATAGAGTTGGGCCACCTAAGAAAATTGGTCACAACAAGCAAGAGTGTTCATTGTGTTTACAGGTGAGCCCCTTTTCATTCTATTTTTTTATTTTTACTTCTGTTGTATTTGTTGCTGACTGAAGGAGCAGCGTGTTTCTTCAGACACACACCTTGATTGGAGGCTGTCCTATACAAGGTTGTCTTTATATACTTTGCTTCAATCCGCTCCTAAAAGCCCTTAGTGTTTGTTTGACATCCTTTTCTAGTTTTAAATACAATATATTTTCAAAGATTTCTTTATATTGCAAAGGTTTATGTATATTAGTAGACAAATAGCTTTCAAACTAGATTACATTTTGTTTAGTAAAATGTTATGTCTAAGGAATGGGCGCGATCATTTCTTAAAGAAATAGGCTAAAATAGGTTAGAATAACAAAAAAATATTTCAGATTTTAAGTCTCTTCCCCTTGCCAAATTTGTGTTTATTGCTAACCTTCTTATTCATTTTGTGTAAAAAGAAACATTTTCTCTGTACTGTTAAGTCCTTCTGACATTAATATTTGTTCTTTAACAAATCAGAAAAGGAAGCAGTAGTTGCAACAGTATTCATTTATAGAAAACATTGTGGGAGAAACCAATGCAGGCGCACATGTTGAAACTTCTGTGATGCAGATGTGCTGGAATAAGAATGCTCCACCTGTCAGTGTGGAGATCATGTGAACTCAGGCAGGGATGACGGTGTGACACAGGGACAGTTAGCTTTAATAAGAAATGATGAGGGTGATTCCTCTATATACTCCACTGTCTGGACACGCGTGTGTTATGTGGATATAAAAGATGCCAGTAATTGTAACTTAGAAGGACATCCATTGTTTGGGATTACAGAAACTTTCTAAGGACTACTGATGACTACCGAAACTAAAAGTGGCATCATTTTGTTACACGTTGAGTCAATGTGAAGCAGTTGTATGATTTGTCATACTGAAACATGGCAAGTGTAACAGAAGCATTATACAGGTTGTGCAGGAACAGGATTCTCAATGAATGGTCAGGTTTATTCAAAGTATCACTGTCTTCAGTTCAGTTGTTTCTGTTTGTTTTCTACTTTACAGCCTGAATATTAATATGAATGATATTTTAGGGAGGCTTGTAATACTGTCTTAATATTGTTATTGTTCCTCATAGTGGAAAATAAATTCTGCATCTTAATGTTATTGCAACAACATTGGCTTTTTTGCTGCAAATACTAACCAACCCATCAGACTGCAAAAAAAAAAAAAAAATTGATTTCTTAGTCTGACATTTGTCTTCTAAATTTCGAGCTGACACAGCAGAGACCCATTCAACAATTCAAAGGACTAATGATAATATAATTCGCAATATTTTTTTAAAGCAGAGTTTTTAACTAAGCCACACAAAAGCTCATTCGTGGATGTTGTAGAACGTATTGTTTAATGTAGTCTTTGTTGGATTTATTGACGAGTTTTCATCTTTGTAGTCTTTTTTTCTCAACATATACAAAAAAAAAATGCCGATCCCGAGTGTGTTTGACATGCATATGTTTTTCTTTTGACCCTATTCCACCCAGCCTCAAGTACAGGCGTGTGACAGAGAGGATGAGGCCCAGTTCTAATTTGGTTTAAGTGGGATTGTTATACTTTGAATCCTGCTTTGATGCAATGAGCCCAGTGATTAGCTAGGTGGAGCTGTTTTTCTTATTTGTCTACTCAGGTCTAGAGAGACAGCTGTCAAATTTGAAGTAATATCGTCACTAGTATTTCTGTGATGTGGTTTCCAATCATATGACCATATTTGCCATAAATTAATATGCCATCAACATTTTGGTTAAAAAAAAAAAAGAAGAAAAAAAACAAACAAATGCCAGTGAATTTATTGTCCCAAGTGTGAGGTTTTGACTAATGGGAGGATTCTTGTTTGTCTCCCATGTTTTTTTTTTGAGGCAACTGAAATGTTGTACTACTGACGTTCATTTCTCAGAGCTTATAATCGATGCACAGCTTTATGAAAAGTCTAAATCCTTCCTCATTTCAAGTTGCAACTGTTCTTCTGCCGCACCAGTCTTGTAACACATTGGTTCGTGTATGTGGGTGTTGAAACATCTCCGTATCTCAGGAAGATGAGAAGTTAGTCATTGTCTTTTCTGTCCACTGTTTATAAAAGCAATTATTTCATTTCAAACCGATGATCCTACTCTCCAATGTCTATCTGTGTTCAATATGTGTTCTCAGGAATGTGAGTAATTTTCTGTATAAACAAATTTTTTTTTTTCAATGAAGAATGAACAATAAAGACATGTTTTTTATATATAATTGTGGGTGTTTTTGTCTTTACCTCAACAAAACGGCTTCAGGAGATTAGCTTTTGTCCATCCATTCATTTAATACATGATTTATTGCACACTATAATATAACTGTAGGCAGAAAACAAGTGAATATTTAAGTGTGTATTTGCCAACAATTGCAACTTCTGCCATGATGATGTATTTTATATTGTTACACCTGTGTTTTACTACGTTGTCATTCATTGTCTGTTTATACAGCCTCCACTTTCTGGTGCCCCACAAGAGGATTTATGGTAGTTGACAAATACATTGCAGCATGTTATAAACCATTTCTTAACACTGCTGTGTGGGGTCATGGGTCAGCATTAAGTTGTATCTTTAGCCCCAGTGGTTATTAATGTCTTTATAGTGATTGTTTATGAATTATGAATACAAGGCACACACCAAATTTTCTATACCTTTATTGAATGAAATATAAACAAGTTTCTCTATCCTTACTATTAACAGCTTGCAAAATATAAAAGATCATTAAGACCATGCTACATGAATATTATGCTAAATGGCTGCAGGTTATTGGTTAATATAACAACAATATGATTTTAGGTACATACAGTAGGTATACAATCTGTACAAATGTTAACAGGTTCACAGTTAAGAGTGTTACAAAAAGCAGGCTGAAGTGGGCGGGTGCCCCAACTAAATGCTTTACATGAACAATAGCAAAAGTCTTTAGCTCACCGTCTTTTTTTAATCATTTATATTTTACATAAAGCATGAATTGATGTGACACGTTCTCTAGAGTCAACGTAAAGGGAAGTGGTGACCTAACAGGGGTCCGTACTTCCTGGTCTTTCTCTTGTTTGGTCATAAAGCTGAGTGAAACGTAGCTGCTCGATCTATTACAGAAACACTCACAGTTACTTCTCAAGATATCTGAATGATTGACACAGTGCAAGTTTGCCAAATTTGGTAGGACATAAACAGATACCAGTGTAGCCCGTGGTCACGTTTGCTTTGGTGGTAAAACTGGACCCCAGGAATGTTTTTAGATATTCCTCCACATGAAAACATCCGCCACTTTGCCAATGAACTTGCAAAATAAGCTCTGACCTTGTGACTTAGGTTTGATGTGTGACTCAAAGCAGCTGAGTAAATGCTTAGGAATTAAATTGGATGCAACCCATGCCTTATTCTGTGAGCAATGGAAAGACCATGACTCCCGGATTGATTTTAACTCGATTTGGCTTTTAAATTAAATGTAAAATGAGAGTTCATCTTTACTTCTGGCACCATGCGGTCGGTGTCTGTGCCTCTCTAAATCCCCACCCAGTGCCAGTTTGATGAACCTAAGCAATCATGCTGAGTGAAGAACACGACATAGGAGCAGGTACCATACGACTGCATTGAACATTTTCATACTTGATCACCCAGTTGATGCCAAAATGACGCCATCAACTGAAGACTAAAGGGTGCACTACTTTTTGTAGGCAACAGAGGGCATCAACATACCGTCTTTTTTTTAAATCAAGAAATATAAATATAGTGTAGTAAGGAAGGTGTTAAATGTAAAATTGCCAGACACAAATAATACATACAGTATGTAACACAGTAACACAGAAACATGGCCTTTAAAGCACTGTGACACATGATCGGCTTTGTAAGTGTTTCTTACATGCACGTCTCTACCGTCTGACTCCTCCAGTGTTTAAAAATGGCTAATGTATCCTTCAAATGTCACTGTTAACCAAATACCTCTGCCGCATGATCAAATGAGGGTGTTATAATTGTATTTATTGTATTATTTCATGAAACAATGTGTAACAATGTCTTTTTCACAGTTTATCAGGCAGTGATTATTTGTCTTATCTACTGTACATGAAGCTTATTAAGTATTTTGTTGGGGTGCAGAGTGAAAACACATTGTGGCAAGAGAATGTGTCAAAAGCATTTGTGGTGGATATCATCATACTCTCTCTGCCCTCTTGTGGTTTTCTCCAGTCAGTGTCATCGCTAACTGTCAGTGGAATCACACTTGTACCATGGTTTAGTTACAATTGCTACAGAGTCTTGAAATAATCATTGGATATGACTATTAGAAGCTGTGATACACCGGCCACGTATATGCAACAGTCTCACATTTGTTTTGTTGCTTCAGCCGTTAAATCTATTGTCATAATGTTGCTCAAAAGAATACCCGACGTATCACAGCTTAATGTGGGAATTTTAAAAACATCAAGGCAACAATGTCCTAACAAAAAAACAAAACAAAAAAAAAAGACAAATGAATGAAAGAATACTCAAATATAAATACAATATACAAGATAATAGTCCTCCATCTCTTCACCTTCTGACCCCATCTCACTCTCCCTACTACACACGGACAAACACACGTGCACACACATAAGAACAGATACACACTTGACCAGGTAGCAGACTCAATGCATATGCAGAAAGGACTATGGAAAGGGCCGAGACACTGAACATACATCACACCGATTAAAAGCCAGATGGGATGCTTCTGAGGCACATGACATGCTTAAGTGTGTGTGTGTGTGTGTATGAGAGGGAGTGAGTGGATGAGGATATGGCGGTGGGACGTCACATTGTGGTGACAGGGCTGCAGGATGGGGGTTAGAGTACAGGTGGAAGGGGAGGTGGAGCTGTTGTTGCTCAGTCACTCCGTCTTTCTGGGCGGAACCCAGTCTCAGTGTGTTACCACAGAGCAGCCTCTTTCTCTCACTCTCTCCCTCATCACTCACTTCCTGGTAGAGTGTGTCTCCCAGGCATCAGTCTTGTATCTTCAGGTGGAGAGAAACAAAAACAAGCTATTAGGAAAAAGAACGGACTCTCTGGAAACCAAAAGGAAACTATCTGAGATTGACATTATATTTGAAAACATCTTTGTGATGTTGTAGGACCAGAATATCATTAAATATCTGTATTTTAATATAATATTATCCATTCTCCCATCCATCCAGGGACAGAAGTGGGGACAAAAGTGACTAGCACATTAGTTGGATGTACTGATTCAGGATGTGCAAACTGTGAAATGGCTGCTGTTCCTCTGCTGCTATTAAGCTGCTTAACTCATCCAGCTCTTTCCTGCTGTTATCTCCCATTTCTGTCCCTCTACAGACTTTCCTCTGCTGCAAAGCTGCATGACAGCTTAATAAATATCAAAGTGAACTACGCCCAGTTTCTCCCTCCTTCACATTGGTTAGATCAGATAACAGCAGTGTGTCACTAAAACATTGCTGCACATTCAAATTGACTAAACATTTACTGAGCAAAGATATAATTCAATCAAAAGAACTGAAAAACACCACTTAAGCTCTTTGAGGCTTTGTAATTAAATCTAACAAATGCGTACTCCGACATGGTTTCTTGACTCCATACTGAGCCTGAGATAGAAGGAAAACAGGAGGAGGGAGCGGAGGATTCATAATCAGTCTTTCAGCACAAGTTCATCTGCCCCTCACACACCGCTTCCTTTTAAGACCCCGGCCTACAAAAAAGGGGTCAATGGCGGCATTCCTACTTTGATATCAAAGGTCCCCTGGTTGCTCATACCCTGAACAAAAGCTTTTTCATCTGGTCAGTGGGCAAATCCCCTCCCCTACTCCCTAATAAAAGTGGGGCCCATTGCTGTCTCAAAAAAGCAACTGAGAGAAGATTGTTTGATAGGCCAACAAAGGAATTTGAAAATAACTACCTTTTTCATCCTTTACTGTTCCATCTCTAATTTACAATACTGAAATACTAAAAGGCACTTATTTAATTTACTTGATTTGTCAATTAAAAACTGTTGTCATAAACAATTCACTATCAATGCTGTAAGATCAGTCTCACCTGCTCATGATGCTGCTGTGATCTCTGTGGACACAGGCTCGATCTCCTTCACGGCCTCCTCGATCACCTCGATCACCTGCGCCATCACTTCTGCACACTTTCCCGACGGTGTTTCTGGTGTCTCTGCCTCTGAGACTTGGCTGGGAGCCGAAACCTCTGCTGTCGCTTGGGGTTCTTCTGACAGCGTTGAGAGTTTGCTTTCAGTTGAAACCCTCTTAGCATTTATGTCGGTGTCTTCAGCCACAGAACCGTTGCAATCAAACTCTTCCGCCGCCTCTTCTTCCACTGACGGCTCCTCAAACACCTGCGCTGTCTGCAGGACCACTTGGAGTGGCATGTGAATCTCCAGCACTTTCTCTTTGTTCTGCTCTGAAGGGGCCTCTGACTTTGATCCCTCCGATTGTGGTTCCACTTCCTCAGCTGCTTCTTCTACATCTGGTTCCTGAACCTCTGCGTCTTCTTTGCTCTGCTCCTCCTTTACCTCTTCAAGCTCCTCACCTGTCTGACTCTCTGCCTTTATCTCTACAACTTCTTCCTCTACTACAATTTCTTCACTTACTTTTACCTCCACAGCTTTCAGCAATCCTTCCGCTGATTTCTTCTCCTCTACAGAGGCATCAAGGCTCTCTGTGACCTCCACTTGGATTGGGTCAATGACCTCCATGGCAACATGGAGCAGCTGAGGTGACTTTGATGCCTGTTGTTCGCAGACAACAGCAACAGGGGTGTCAGAGATAACAGGGGTGATCTCAATCTCTTCCTCTATTGTTGCTACAGCCTGGACTGGTGTAGGGGTGGTGAGCTTTTTCGACTCAGACGCGTCTTCTGAAACTTTATCCATAGCGTCCTGAATGACAGCCTGGGCAATGACGATGCTCTGAGCCTCAATTTCACTGGTCTGCTGGACGTCCACCTGGATTTCCTCCATATCCTTGCTGGACTGCTCAGTGACTGCACTGATCTCTGATGCTGCTGTTTGAGCGGTCGTGGCCTCCACAGTCTCTTCAACTTCACCCTCCTCCTTGGTTTCCTGCACCTGGATTGAATCATCGCCGACTGCCTCTGGTGTACTTTCCATGGCAATCATGTCTGATGCTGCCACACTGACTGGCGCCACAAGGACCACTGTTTCGGAGATAACAACCCCATCACTTGGTACAGCTCCAGGGATGGTTGGCTCAGTCTCCTTTGTGATGGTGGTCTTTGTGATTTCACCTATGGTGGAGACTATCTCTGCAGTCACAGACTCAACTACCTCTTTTACGGTATTTTGTTCGATGGCAGCAAGCTGCTCCACATCCATTTTCACTTCCTTGGTTTCTACAGATGGCTCAGTGACTTCTACGCTCTGTGTGCAAACAGCTGTTTCTAGTGTTGGTGTAATGGGATCACCTCTCATGACGTCCTTAGGAGAGTTCTCGCTCATGGTGGTAGGCTGAATGATTTCAGACTCCTCCTGAACAGTGCTGACAATTCCAACCATCTCAATCTCGGGTTCATGGCTCTCACTGCCTGCTTGAATGGCTGTCAATTCACCCTGTGAACTTTCAACAACAGGCTCAAGCTCGGTGGTGTCTACTTGGTGCACTTCGGCGTTGAACATGGCAGTTTCCGTAATGATGGCTTCCTCTGTAATTGCTGACTTCTCTTCTACTGACGTCTGTGTGATTACAACATCACGGATCACGGCCAAAGACTCTACGATGGGCATCACAGGTTTCTCCAAAACTACTTTGGCAATCTCCTTGGTTCCAAGGCCAGTGCAGATAGCCATGGCCTCATCACGAGCATGTGGCTCCAGGATGGCATGTGTCTTTGACTCTGCATTCTCAGTTGGTGGTTCATACTCTGTTTTATCAGAAACTACTTCTACTGGTACATCTTCAACAGTCACATTTGTCTGGGGTGGAATTTCACTAATTTCGGCCTGTATGCCCTCCATAACCTCCTGTGCGCTCTCCGGCTCGGGTCGCTGAAGAACAGGAGTAGTTTCTGCAGATGGAGCTTGAGCAACAGGCTTTACCTCGGCCAGGGACAGTCTGCGCCCTGTGCATTTGGGAACTTCAAGAGACAGATTATCCTTGTCCTCAGCTTCATCCTCGGCGATGTCAGTTTCGACAGACTTTGGTGTGGCAGCATTCTCCGCCTCCTCTGGAATGTCACTCAGCTGATCATGTTGATCGTCACCGTCTTCAACAGGGGCTGGGATCCATGAAGGGGATCTATCTTCAGTGGATACTTTGATCTGGACTTCAGCAGGTTCTTCTGGGGCTTTCTGTTCAGCTTTAACCTGGTCTTCATAATCTGAGAGAGGAACCACAGCTGGGGTGTCAGAGTCCTCCTCACCCTGTTCAGTGGAGGCTTGTTTTTCAGCCTTCTTCTTTTTGCGTCCGGGGAAGAGCTTCCTCAAAGAGAATGATGACTCATCTTTTGGTGCCTCACTGTCTGACTGGACTTGTTCTGTAGTCTCCTCAGGCTTTTCCTCAACTTTGGCCTTATTCTTTGGCATAACCATGCGTTTCAGTGTGTCCCAGGTGGACTCTCTCTCGGGAGGGGGGCTTAAAGGTTCAGGGGAGGAAACAACTTCTCCATCGCTGTCAGTGTTTTGGGAACTGACAATGGCAGCCTCAGTTTTGCCCACCTGCTCCCCTTCTAACGCAGCTGCTGTCGATTCCTCTTCAACCTTGGTCTCCTCATCGTCAGAATCAGAGGTCTTCCTAGTCCTCTTTTTGGGTCCACCCATACACATTAGAGCCTCCCAGGAGACAGAAGTGTCCATTTTCTTTTTGGGCTCTTCTGTGCTGCTGACCAGTTTCTCAGAGTTTTCAGTCTTTGGTTCTTCCTCGGTTGGCTTATCCTCCTTGGCCTCCTCCTCAACACTCTTATCTGCTAACGGGGCACTCTCAGAAGAGGACAGGGTGGCGGACTTTGCTGGTTTTTCACCTGTGGCTTCATCTTCGCTCTCAGAAGACCTTTTTACACGCTTCTTGGGTGTGACTAGTTTCTTGAAGGAGGACCAGGCAATGATGCCCTCTTTTTTCTTCTCTCCATCAGAAGCAACTTCACCATCAGTCTCCTGGCTCGACTCATTCTGGGTCACCTCCACAGCAATAACATGCTCTCCCGACTCCTCGGGAGATGAGGGCCCACTGTCAGCTTTTGGATTCTCTGCCGACTCAGTGGAGGACTGAAGCTGCTCAGCCGCCTGCTCCCCAGACTCAGTGAGCTTCGCCTCGTTGTCTTTCTTGGCCTTCTGTTTCTTAGTTGAGAGCTTCTTTAAGCCAGCTCCAGTGAAAAGCTTCTTCAGGGGGCTTCCCTGGGGCTTGGCCTTCTCTTGTGATGATAGCAGCTCAGCCTCAGTAGTCACCTCTGCCGGAGCCTTCTCCTCTTCTGCACTAGGTTCTGCTTTTTCCTCTCCTGGTTTGGTCTCATCAGTAGTAGCTGCAGCAGGGGTTTCATCAGTGACCTCTGACTCTGGGGTACTCTCTGATTTCACTTCCTCTGGAGTAGTTGGTGCCTCCTCCTTAGTTTCTTGGTCAACGTCATCTTTCTCCTCCTTTTCTTCCGCAGCAGCAGCAGCGTCTTCTGTCTTAGCTGTGTCCTCCTCAACAGCTGCCTCCTTGTCTTCCTCCTCTTTTGTCTTCCGGATGCTGGCTTTTTTTCTCAGGTTAGAGAAAAGTCCTCCACTGAAGAGCTTCCTGAAGGGAGACAGGGTGGTCTCTCCTTCCTTCTCAACTCCTTCATCAGTAGCTTCAGCGGCTGTGTCTTCAGCTGGGGCGTCAGTGGTTTCAGCTTTGTCTGCCTCAGCAGTAGATGCCTCTGTATCGGCCTCCTTTTCTTCAGTCGAGCTCTTCTCCTCTGCAGTGGCAGCCTCTTCCTCCTTTGTAGGTTCATCAGTCACACCAACCTCCTCTCCTTCCTCTTTATCTTTGACTGTCAATAGCTTCACAGGATCTTTCTCCTCACTTTTGTCCTTCTTCAGTGTAAACTTAAAGCCCACAAAGCGGAAAATCTTCTTGAAGCCCACTTCACTGGCATCCTCGGGTTTCTCCTCTGCTGCTTTTTCCTCAACAGCTGAGATGTCATTGGCATCAGGAGACTCTTTCTCCACTTTCTCGCCGTTCACTTGGGGAGCCACTTCACCCTGGATGGTGTCCATCGACTCAGGAGTCTCCTCCTTCTGAGCCACACCATCAGGCTGGCCAACTGAAATGACAAAAAAAAGCATTTGATGAAGTTTGATGAAGATATTGATGAGTTTTCTATTACAGCTCCTACTGTGTTACAGAAAGATCACTTACATTATTCACATAAAAATGCTTTGGCCAGAGCTATGATTTGTAATTTGCAATTTATCATATTTAGATAATGATTACGACATTAATCTGTGTTCAATAAAAAATATTTATGTCATTACTAATGGAGGAGAGACGTATAGAAAGGATTTGCTGTGATCCTAACCCCCTGAGCAGATTTTATTAAGCATTTGAGGACTCAATTGATTATTAGACAATTAGATTTGTAATTTTGCCCAGTTAATCCTTTGCTATGTAAACACGCCAAAAAATAAGACATTGAAACAAATAAAACAGAAGTCCCCAAAGGAAGTTCCATAGAAAATGTTACACAATGAGAGAAATGCTTTACGAAATGTGTGGACTATTGAACCAAAACATGTGAGCAGAGCTATAACACAACCTGGCAACCACCATTACTGTGGGTAATTCCCAAGTAGTTGTACAAATCAAAGACAAATGTTGTATTATCAGCTGAGATAAGAGACACATACACACATGCGACACATCCACAAGACGTCTGCCTGCCATGTGTATCTGTGTTTTGACAGAGGAAGGCGTAGGGGGATTACGACCTGCCAGTGTTTAAAGCTTTTCTTCTTTCTTTCTCCTCAGAGCCTACTACAGTCTGGAAAACCTCACATCTGATACCTCTGGACTCTAAAAACAAATTCCCAGGACTTTTAATGCCTGGCTATCAGCTTACCCGATTACACACACTGGGAAAAACAAAGACGCTCATGCACTCCCTCAAACCCTGCAGGACTGTGGGAAGTACCACCTTCACAAAAATGATATGTAAAAACCAAGGTATTTGATTCCATCTCCCATTTTTAACATGATATCTGCTATGAAAATTGGATGAAGATTTTAAATAAATCTGTCCAAGATGACTCTTGGTTCTTGTATTACACAAAAATGTAAAACTTTGCGCCCACATCCGTCAACATCCTTTTCCTAAATTATAGGCATGATGCTTCACTCAGTAGCACTGCATTCCTAGAATATTTTTACTTTAAAATGAAAATAAATATTATTTCTACAAATTAGGTAAAACCTCAGCAAACACTAGAGCGTTTCGCACTAAATGTGTATGAAAAAATCAACACATGCTTTCAAAACCCTAATGTTATTAGTGAGGGCACGCCCATGTCTTATGTATAGATTTGACTTGAGTGGAATGTGAGCTATGCTGTTCACTCTGTGTTTGGGAAAATTATTTTAGGATGCTCTAAACATAATCTGAACTTAAATACCGGGGGACTTCAGGAATGTTATTGGGTTTTTTTTCGGTTTGACTGTGTCTCCACTGTGCCCATGTAGGATTCAAACCAAACAGTACAGGCCTCTACTACTACCCCTCCTTAAAATAAAAAAAAAGTCCCAATCTCCTTGACCCAAATTCCACAACAGCAGGATGGATGGGGACCCACCCCCATCCCAAGGCTCACACTCATGCAAACACAATAGAATTCTAACCCTCTCTGGCCTCCGAAAATAAAGGAAGGGGGGTGGTCAACTTTTCTATTATCAAGACACGCTGCAGCTTGGGAGAAGGTTGCTGACTTTACCAAAATAATGTTAACAGAAATTTAAAAGGCCTGAGTGGTTTACAAAATACAACATTGTCACATGGCAGTGAGCTCTCTCTCACATAGGTGTTATTTTCAAGGTCCCATCACACGGTTGTTAAGCAAGAAAGTATAATCAGAAGAACAACAAACACCAGTCTATGTCCGTGTCATAAGAAACCTGAGTACAAAAATAAATTCAGCTCAATTATGCATAAACAGAAATTCATGTTAGTGTACATAATCAAACTAGCACCTCTAAGCTGTTTTCAATGAAGTTCTGGTGCAGTAAAGAGCTGTTGAATGAAGACGTGTGTGTGTAGGAGGGGTCCGACTGTTAGAAAGCCAGACGAGGCCATGTGTATCTACATGGATAATAAAACAGGAACCATGTTGATTTAACAGACTACTGGCATCTCTCCCGTCTTTTTGATCTTTGTTTTTTGAAAAAATTTTTTTTTTACAGGCACGCAACTGTTAACATCCCAAGATTGATTTGGTTTGTGGTGGGGGGGCGGTTAATGTGTGGTGGAGGAGGTTGGGTGATTTGAATAACGACTGTACCAGAAAGAATGTGAGTGTGAGGGGTGAGGCTACAGAGGGTGAGGAGGGGACAGTTAAGAGATGAAGGGATGGCGTTGTGGGGGTAGGGGGGGCAGGGTCTCTGCCCGTACTCACATTAGAGGGTGTTACATATCTCTGGAACACACATTCATAGTTGAAATACTTATCCCCGTTGGAGACAAGCTTTGTTTATGTGTGAGTGTGAGAGCATGTGGTAAGACGATGCTCTCATATTAAATATCATCGCCGCAGCCCCCCCCCAAAAAAAAACAATTGAAACCGACTCCAGTCTCCAGTGAGATCAGATAATGTTTCTGTTGTGGCTGTTTCAACACTATTTGTTGTTTTTGGGGGGGGGGGCAGTTGGGAAGCTGAATGGCAGCTATTCTTTTAAGACAAACTTTGCCAAATATATGCAAATCGTTATTGTAATTATCAGTCTGGAGCAGAAGCCCTTTAAACAAAAGAAGTCAGTTAAAAAGAGGGCAAGGAGACTCCCCACACCATCCCCCAACAGACACGATACTAGCGCTCTCTCTCTCTCTCTCTGTCTGTCTGTCTGTATCAAAGGTGTGGTCAAAGTCTCTCCGGGGCTCTGGAGAACCCTACACATCAACAGCACTAACAACACCCGCTGCACCACAATTCATCTCATTAACATCAAGTAAAAGTCTGATGTGAATAAGCCCACAGCAAAACCTAGTAAACACGGATATATATCTCTTCATATCAGTGCTTTGGTTTTCCATTTATGTGCAGAAACCAAAACCTGAGGTCACCACAAAGCAAAACATTACAACATTACTCAATTTGAAGCATCACTCCCAATTATGAATTTAAGAAGAATTGATCTTGGCATGCAATTAATTTCATACGCCCCCTTTTCCTCCCTCCCTACCCTTTGTGGCTAAGCTGCTGAATAACCCCACTGGGAATTAGGATCCCACTCTCTAATGAAATGCTTCACATGACGGGACACAAGGAGCTGGCTGAGACAGCGATGTGAGCTAAAAGCAGGATTTAAAAATGCGTCTATAAATGCATCTTCATATATTTCTATCTGGCAGCTGTCGCCATGTGAAATTATTTTCCCATCAAGAAGTTTGGTGGTAGTAGAGGATGTATACTTCACTTTTCAGGGCACTCAGCAGTTGGCTTTGGCCAGAGGTACACTGTGATGTCTCTTTGTACCGTCGATAAACAGGTTTTTAACCACATAAAAGCTCATAACAGGGTTAAATAAAAGATGATAAAATAAGAAAACTACAGCATTCAAGCATTATTTTGCTTTCTACATGAGGAGGTTCTGCAGTGGCCAAAGCAAAACCATCACCCACCAAGCCAGGACATCTACAAACCACAATGCTAACTAACCACACCCTCAGCACAACAATGCCCTCAGCCACACTCACTCGTGTGAGGAGAAACCGATGCTTTGACATATCCTGAATTACTAGTTTCAACTAAATAAATCAAATTGGCACTTTAAAGTAAAGCAGTCATTATTTCATCATCAACAAACTCTAAATTGTTAAAAAATACAATTAATGAGACCATATTGAATGATTTTTCTTACCCGTTAGAGTTATTGTTCCAAGCATTGGTAAAAGTCCAAAAATTCTTTCTTCAAAAACTTACAAAAATAAAAAAAAGGATTTAAAATGTAAAGATATCTAAGAATATATTTCTAAAATCTGTCTCACTCTTGTTTTCCTTCACTCAGTTAAGTCTATAAGATTTGCTTCTTGGCTCCGTCTTCACTAGTTAACTCAGTCTGAGGGCAGAAGCTGTGTGTTTCTCTCTCTCTTCCAGCGCTTCTCAGCTAGTATGAACAGAAGAGAGGAATCCACACACATTTCAACAGACTGACACACATGTCACGTTAGGACCACCCCCGCCTCCCTCTTCCTCCCACCTCCCTCTCCTTTCTTCAGCTGTTCTGAATGAGCCCCCTCCCCCCCTCACCCCCCTCAGACCTCACTGTCCAGCCGGGATGACTGCAGCTCATCATGTGATTTCTCTAGAAAGCATTTGCTAACAATCCCTCCACATCAACTACTCTACAAGCTCCACATAACCCCATCAATTCCTAACGCTATATCATGCACATTGTTGCTACATTCTCCTTCCCTGGCCTTAAAGCCCATGTGTGTCCTCAAATGGCAGTTTCTCACAGACTGTTAAAAAAAATACCAACTGAAAAACAGTCTTAAGCAGCCACCGCACCCCTGTCCCCTGTACTCCCCCTTTTCAGGAGGCAACCACGCTCCCCCCGTATCTCATGGCACATGTCACTAGTCATGGAGGAATGTTGACAGAGGCAAACCAGAGGGGATTTCAGGATGTTTCTTTGGAATTTTTAAAATGGTTGGGTTTTTGACTAATTGAGTTCCCTATCCCAAATGATTTAAAACGAAATTCAAAACATAGTAATTGTTACTTCACTTTATAGTCCCAAAACTCTCCAAATATATCCCTTTTTAAAGGCAAAGTTCATACCCAGGACCTCAACCCAACATGGACGGGGGTGCCATTGAGCTGCCGCCTGCCCCTGTTGAATGTTAATAGGCCCCTCTCAATTACTCCAATGCAGACACATTTAATTCATCTTTTGTCTGGGAGGGGGGGGGGGGGGGGGAGAAGTAGACTAGAAGGACTGCAGATAAATCCTCAGGTAAATACCAGCATAATCAGATCTGTCACACTTCAGCATTGTCCCAGAAGAATATGTGAATTCCATCCAGAAGGCTCCCAAACGGGTGATAACAACAGTAAT